ATAGTTCATAATTCAGAATTTCAGGAGGCGGGGTGGGGTGTGGGGTGGGGTGGGGGTGGGGGTGGGGTCTATCACTGCCTCAGTGCCGCTCTCTCGCTCCGCCAGTGTTTCAGAATCGTTTTCATAACAGGGGGTGTTTCTCAATGTCAAGGCGCCCGGCCTTGCGAGACGATGTCTTGCGAGGCCAGGCGCCTTGCTTACGAGGTAACTGTCCTTCCTTGGTCAAAGAAAACGGTTAACTGGAACAGACTTGCATCACATGACCGTGGCTTCCACGGCGGTCGCGTAACATCATTTGACACGGGAGATAACGTTATATTTTATACGTATTAGTTTCAATATAAATATATAACGAGACTTTTACTTTTTTAATTGTGTATATGTTTATTAAATAAGTGAGTTACTACCCGCTAGCCACCAAAGCTGCAACTAACCAGCAACAGATAACTTATTTGGATCTAAAAAAACACATTTTAAATTAGTTGTCTTACTTTTAAACTTGAAAATTGTCCCCGAAGTAGCTGCCAGCTTTTGATCCGCCATCCTTTTGAAAATACTGCGATGTATTCTGGGCAATTTTTGACCAAGGCTAGGCTACAAGACACCTCCCGTGTATGCTTGCTCAGCTAGCTAAATGGCTAACAAACAGAGAACACATGCCTCGGTAGAACATGAACACTGGAACACGTCTTGGCGGCTCCTGATGACGTATCTCCTAAGCAACCGGGGTGGGGCCAAGATATCAAGGCAAGGTTCCTTGGCATTGAGAAACACCCAGGAAGTGTGGATGGACTGTCTCCACCCAGGACTTGACCCTCACTTTAAAGCTTCTTTCTGGAGTATTTCTCTTATCCGATGGCACCATCTAGTGGCTGACAAGCATATCATACTCCATTTTTCTAAGATGGCGACTTCATGTTTCTGTTTATAAATGTGCTTCTGTAGCCTACAAACAGAGCTAAAACACGATGTTTTATGAGTGTTATTCTCATGTAATGTTGTGTTCTCATATTTTTATATTTTAGAGACTTACTTGTCCGTGAAAAGTTAATCAACTCTGCATCAGCCGATGTATTCCTTAAATTTGAAGCAAGTAAGCGGTAGTCTAACGCTATTGGTTAGTTCTGGTCTGCGCTCAGTTTCCTATTGCACAGAGCTATGCGGGGCAGGGAGGTGCGTAGTAAGAAAAAAAAGACGTATTGCTTACATTTGATCACAGTACATGGTGATATAATCACTTTTACAGATTTTTGACAAATCATACATCATTTCTGAAAGGTGAAACCTCCAGAAAGCAGCTTTAAGGATGTAAAGAAAGCAAATGTAAAGTCTTTCAATGGGGGATTATTTTCTATACCTGCTGTTTATAGAATGGCTTGCCAGGCTAGTCAGATTTAGCTTTTAGAAGTAACGCATCAAATTGGCTAAAATTGGAAGAATCGGCAGGTCAGACGTACAAAAAATCTGAAATTGGTATCTGCCCTCATGACCAGAATCTGTGTATTTCTAAAATGACCAGTGACCTGTATTTGATATAGTGCTTTCTAGAGTTCTGGAACCCCCAAAGCGCTTTACAACATTCACCCATTCACACACACACACACACACACACACACACACACACACACACACACACACACACACACACACACACACACACACACACACACACACACACACACACACACACACACACACACACACACATCCTGGTGAGGATGAGCTACAGTGTAGCCACAGCTGAGGAGCCAAATCCTTTGGGTTTCAAGTATATTTAAAATTCTAATTCCCTCTCACCACATATTCAACTCTGTATAAGTGGTTGGTCCCGTGAGGTTCATCCTGAACATGTACTCTTGTAATGAAAAGAAAAAAGAGAGCAATTGAACACTCCTACCTACAGACTACCTGCTTTACACACGACACCTCATCACGGATCCCCACAACGCCGTTTTAATGAAGCTGGTTTTATGCAGGTGGTCTCTCAGTGCTGGAAGCGTGGATGAAGTGGCTGCTGGGTCTTCCCTTAGTATTGGCAGCATGTTTTACTAAATGGAGACTGCAGGAGAAGGGCAGTAATGGATCGTTTCCACTTTGATAAAACAGGAAATCCTCACCACAAATCTGTATTTATTGCTTATTTCCCACATTTCATATACATCTGCATTTACATAACTGTTGTAAAAAAAGCAAAAAAAAAAAAAGGGCAGAAAAAGGTAAAAATATTTCATGAGGCAGGATGATTTGTAAACAAATATTTATGTGGTAATGTGAAGGTTTCATGCATTTCTATTGTGCAGTGACAGAAAACCTGTTTTGTTCAGATTAATTATCTCTCCACGCTCCATCTGCCAGTTTTGTTGAATCTTTGAAATGAGCCTTTCCCCCAGAAACATCTATTCTAGCAGATGGTATTTTTAAAAGATGCTCTGTTTGTTTTATTTATTATTTTGTTTCTCTGGAGCTGAACAGATTCCTGCTACATTAACCTTATCGTCCTACGTTCTGGAGAAAGTTTGGCCTCCAACAGCGCTGCTGCCTTCTGTAGGGACCAAACTGCCTGATGATTTATCCTCATCGAGTCCACCTGTGAATCGACCATACTATCAGTTTAGAAATTTACATCTTCTTTTTTACGAGGATGATATCTGGTGGTTCAGATGGGGTATTGTGACAGAACCTTTATAGGTTGTCAGGTTTACAGATGATAGACATCCATCAACACATCACCACGCTTTACTGACTCTCCCAATGGCAGAGGGTGGACAGAGAGATGGAACTTTTCCAATGATACTGCTTAAATAGACTGTAAATGAGAATCAGACACAGACTCAACCCTGACATTTGGGCCGTCTATGTTTGGGAGCATGCGGAAACCACAGTGACCTCTACAGTGACCCTTCAGCTGTCAGTACTCTCGCACTTGAAGGCTTTTTTTAAATATTCAGCGCTGGTGGCATTATCTGTCCTTTATGTTCAATTGCTGCTGGTTATTTGACTTGGCATGGAATTTACAAATCATAATTCACTAAAGGATTTTGTCTTTTGCTTCTTTGCATCTGTTACAACATTGACAAATTGACACAAAAATTTTTTTAAAACCTCTAATTTGATAATCTAGTAAAAGTAGGTGTGAGTAGAGCTGGAATAATCTCTCACAAGAGGAGTCATTCTCCTCAAATTTGTTTTGAAGTGAGACATCCATTAACATGTCACTGTATTTCTTTGAAATGAAATTCATATGTTGAGCCTTGTTTATTATTTGTAGCAGGGATATAATAAACACTCCTCCCTTTGTTGTTATTGTTTGTGCCGTCTGGTTATCAGGCGTTCTTATTGGTGGCAGGAGCAGTGGCGCCCCTAGATAATTTTCAAAGGGATGGCCAGAGACAGTTTAGGGGGTGGCACACCAGATTGGTCCATGTGATAACTCAAGATTTTAGCCTGTGATGCATTGAATGCTCCTTTATTCTTTTTCTTTATAAAATGATGTGCATCTAACATGCTTACCTCAAATTTGAAGAACACAATTTCAGTTATTTAGAACGGTATTTAAAAGAATTATGATAGAATTCTTAAAAACACTTTAATTGCTGTATTCACAAAAACTATAGGGTGTTTCTCGTCAAGGCGCCTTGCCTTGCGAGGCCAGACACCTTGTTTACAAGGACACTGTCCTTCCTTGGTCAAAGAAAATGGTTAAATGGAACAGACTTGCATCATATGACCGCGG